GAAATCTTTTATCAATGTTTTTTTTTATTCATCCATAAACAAAAGTGTAAAGAAATCAATTTTTGTTGTTATCGCATTCGCTAATCATCATCGCATAGACAAAAAATTTGAATAATTAATGATTGAATTGTTGAATCACCTCTTTTTTCGAAATGTAAAATGAGTTATTTTTAGATGATTTTTGTTTTTTTTGAAGAAAATAAAAAACATTTCTTATTAATTTATTCATATAAAATAGTTGACATTTGCTGTCTGATTCTGTCAAACAATTCTATCATCTTATTTGTAGTTTATGAAACAAAAAAAAAACAACAAAAATTATCCTAATTCACATGGGACATGTTCACTAAGAGGAAAAATAAAGTAAAAGATTTTTTGTTGTTGTTGTCATCAATTTGGACAAAAGAACAAAGATTATGATAATGATAATCTTTAAACAACCAAAGCTAAAACAACTAAGGCAAAGCAAAAGAATTACACATCACATTCTGTATGTGTGTGTGCTCATTTTTATTTTGTTCATCATTCTATGATGATTTATGACCTTAACATTATTATTGCATTGCATTGATGAATCTAAACAATGATGATGTTCAGAAAATGATGAAACTTTTTTTTATTATCCATTCTACGATCGTTTGTTTTAATTTCTGGATTTTTTGCCTTTTTTTCATCCATTCATGGATTACTTTGAATGAATGAATGATATTTACAACAAAGATCTTTATTTCATTTTTTTCTGCTTAGTTGTTTGCATTTTATTCTCGACAAACAAACAAAAAACTTGATAATCGATTAATCAATCAATTAATCAATCAATCAACAAGGCCGTAAAAAATATATCAAATTCATTTCAATTCGATTCAATTCTTCAGAACACACTTTCATTCTTTCATTCATTCACTCACTCTCTCTTGTTGAATAAAATCATTCGATTTTTCGTTTATGAAAAAAAACAAACAAACAAACAAAAAATTCTAATCAATCAATCAATCGATAATCAATATTGGAAGAAAAAAAAACTTTGACAAATAGCAAATAATTTAGATAAGAAACGAAACATACAATTGATAAACAACATTGTCAAGCAAGTTTCAAGCAAGAAAATAAACAAATCTTAAATCAAATGAAAAAGAAGAAGATTGTCAAACAATTTTTTCATTTTCTCTCTATTTATTTATCAAATGAAATGAAATGTTGTTTGTGTAAAACACATACACACACACTAACTGATCGATGATGATGGTCTCAAATTTTCAATGAAAAAAAAATTAAGAAATCCAGTGTGTTAATAGAATTGTATGTTTCAAGGATTATTTTTCATTATTTTCAATTATAATTTTAGTTGATAAAAAAATGTTCATTTCTAACTGTTTTTCAGTTATTTGCTTGTTTGTTTGTTTTTACCCCCAGTTGTAATTCTGAAATGATGAATCACAATTTTGCAACAAAAAAATCTTATCTGATATGTGGGTTTGATGTTTGTCGAGCAAAAAAGATGCAAGAAAAGAACCTTCAGTATCCAAGTATACCAAGATGGTTATGAAACAGAATATTCTGTGGGAGAAGAATTTGGGAATTTTAAAACGCTTTTCGTATGCCTAACAAATATCGATCATATCAATTTCATCAAAGAAACTAATCACATGATTATCGATTTGTGTGTGTGTGTTGTGTATGTTTACATAATGAGGATCAAAAATAATATCAGAAACTCGTCAACAGAATCATCTGATCATCAGATTCACCCAAAGAGAAAAAAAAACCAAATTAGATTTTAAACATGAAAATAATCAATTCATTTTGAAATTGATAATTTCATTGATAATCAATGAAAGAAATGTGTAAAAAAAACATTTTTATCATTATCATCATTTTGGAAGAAAGAAGAAAATATAAACAATATTAATGAATGGAAAAAACCAACAATCATCAATGAAATCATGACCAAAAACATGTACCATTTCTTCCTTTGAATTTGAATTTCCAGGAGAAAAATGATAAGATTATCCAGTGAGATTTCAACGAGAAAGAATTATGGGAGAAAAGAAAAACAATTTCTGTTTGATTCTGAACCGAATTGATACGGGAAAAATTCAATCAAAAAACTTTGTTGAAAACGAAAGCAAAAATCAAACAAAACCAGCATGTTTTTTTCCGGTAATTTTGTTTTTCATAATCGCTATTCGATTGAAAATTTGTAAAGAAATTTCATCAAAAAAAAAAAATTTCACTAAAACCACCACCGCCATTATTGTGTGGTAATAAATTTCTTTTCTCTTTTCTTTGGTTTGCGTTGGTTGTATTGTAATCGTTTTTGTCTTTTTTTCGCTTGTTTGTGGAATTTAATTGCATAATAAATTTTTTTTTTTAAAAGGGGAATGAACGGATGAATTGAATTTGAAATTAAAATTCAATATCCGATATCGATCAGATGCCATTATTGATGATTATCTGTGGATATTTTGGTGAAAAATTTCTCTTTTTTAACATTCCGGAAACATTTTTTTTCACATTTTCACTTTTTTCTTGGTTGAAAAAAAATTCATTTTGAAAATTTATCACCCAACGACAACGACGACAACAACAAATTGAACCGGAAAAATTATTCAAATCTCAAATTAATGACACACACTATATTTCATTTGACAAATTTTGTTTTTCATTCATTCAAATATTTTCAAATTGAGAAAATTTCTTGGAAATATGACAAGAATTATTCAAATATAGAAAAAAGTTCGCAATATGAATGTACAGAACAACTATTTACAGAATTATTGAATACAGAATGATGATTATGATTTGTTTTTTTTTTGAAATATAAATGTAAATAACATGATGATTTTATTACAATTTTGTTTTTTTACTTTGTTGTAATTTTTTTGCGGAAATATTTACCAAAAAACTTTCTTTTCATTTCGCGCCATTCTTTCAATTCAAAAAAATCTTATCGTAAATGTAACATACAAACATCATCAAAGCCATCATAATCATATGATGCTAATCATCGTTATCGATTTCAACAATAAAATCCATTCAAAAATCAAATTTGATAAGTAAATAAAAAATTTCCAAGGTTTTTTCTGTGAAATTACTGGAAATTTTCCCAAGAAAATGAAAAGGGCAATGACAAATTTCACAATGTGGTCAGTTTCCAGCAGTGATTTTTTAATAATAATGATTATTATTCTTGAAAAGATAATTATGTTTAATAATAAACTTTTAATGAATAAAATAAACATGATTGCACTATCAAATGGCAACTAAAAAAAATATCATTATAATGATGTTGTTTCTTTTTTTGTTAACTTTGCATTAACCGCGGTCAATATCAATATTACAACCTGAATGGGCGTCATTACATTTTGTTTCGGTGAATTTCTCTTTCTTTTTGCCGACATTTGGCGCCAATCTGCTAATATGGAGAAAATATTTCTTTGGCTGGTTTTCTGTGAATCAAGATATTTTCCAGATATATGTTTCGCTGTATAAAATATTAATTCTGGTTAATTTTGGAAAATAGTTTTTGACCGGAAATTTTTGTGTGTTTTCAAAATTCCAAAAAAAAGCACTGAATTTACCGAATTGAACACGAACATCAAATTGACCAATCGATTCTAAGAAAAAAAGAGAAAAAGAAAAAATTCCCAAATTGCGAAAAACGATGGAATGAAATCCAAAAAGATCAAACCGAAAAAAAATATTGCTGCAACATTGCAATAATCGATTGTAATCATCAACATCATCATTTTGTCTGGTGGCAAAAAATTGTTTCTTCTTGACTGACTGATGATGATCATCATCATCAGTAAATCAGTGTTAGTCGGTCGATTGTTTGCGGCAAAAAATCAAAGATGAGAAAGCAAAAAAAATCATTTCACATTTCATTTTTGACATTTTATCTCATTCTGTCAATTTTAACACAATGACATCATTTTTTTTTCTTTACTTCACACCCATCATTCATTCATTCATTCATTTTCCCTCTCCCTCTCCCTCTTGTTGATCTAATCTAGTATTCAATTTCATTGATTTCATTGATTTTTTTTCCTACATGATGATTTTCAACTTCCGAAATTTTCTTTTCTTTTTCAAATATTGACAAGTGGTTGTTGCTTTTTGCTTTTTGTTTGTCGGTTATATTTCACAGATGTTTGCAAATGGATTGTTTGCAAAACAAATCAAATTTCAATCATCATAGTTGGCAATGATGATGATTCATATTCGGTAATTAGTTGAAATTTTTTTCTGTTGTTGTTTTCGGAAATTCATTACCAATTGATCTCGATTGATTTTCGATTGATTTTTTGATATTTTAAAATCTTTTTTTTTGCTGAAAAAAATGATGCCATCAATCGATGATGACGTCAGGATGTTTCATACACACACACACAAAAAATTTTCTCCTTCTTCTTCCTTTTAAATTAATCATGAATGAAAGTTAAAGATGATGATGATGGTAGCTGTTGTTTGTAGGCGGAGTATATTGTTTGTTTGTTTGTGGAAAGATAATGCAACAGTAGCAATAATGATAAGAATAATAACGGAAAAGTTGTAATAATAATATTTTTGCAGCGTCGCTGCAACAATTTTCTAAACCATCGTTGTTGAGAAAATAACAGAAGAAAATAACAGTCTTTTCGTTTGTTCTTGCCTATTTTTTCTCCCCCTCATCTACACACTATAGTCGTTTTCGTTTTTGTTGTTCATTTTATTTCAATCAACCCGAAAAACCCGTAAAATAATGATGATGATGATAGCAACCAAGTTATAACCAACAGACACCAAAAAGCAAACCCAAAACTGAAACACCAGTGTGTATAAAGTGAATGGCTTTTTTTCACTCTACAGTTTAATCTAGTCATTTCATTTTTCGTCAATATCGAAATCTATCATTGAATAAAAACTATATAAATATCAGGTTATAATCAAATCCAAAATTCAGTTCAATTCAATATTCAATTGAATATTAAAATTTCAGAAAAAAATAAACCAAACGAATTGTTCCTTCCTTGAATATCGATTTTAATTTTGCGGTGTTTTTTAACGAAATTCTCAACACTTATTCGAAGGTGTTTGTTTCTATTGAAAAATTTTCAAAAAAAAATTTTCAACAAAGAAAAATCAATCGAATTGTGCTCTGGTTTTGAGATCAAATCAAGCAAACAATTTTTTTCTCATTTCTTCTAAATATGAAAATATCTAAATCTCAACAACAACAACAACTGAATCATCAACAGCCATCATCAACAATGATATCATCAATAATGTCATATTCATCAATGATGAATTATTATCCATCATCATCATCAATATCATCATCAAATAAAACAAAAAATTCATCATTAATATCAAGAACAACAACAACAAATCGTACAACACAAATGGCAATGGCTTTTCTATTATTATTGATCTGTGCACAGATTGTTACATCAGCACCGGCATATGATTTGGAAAGTAAGTGAAAAATTTTCTTTCCTTTTTTCGGGAATTACCGCATAATTTTGCAAACGAAAAAAGGAAAACCGGAAAAAAATTTTACCGTTTGATCACATTATACATTGAATTTATTCATGCATTTATTTATTTCGTTCATCATGAAACATCATCATCATTATAATGATGATGATGATGATGAGGATCATCTGGATCTGTTTGGTTCTTGTGTGTGTTTCATTAGTATCAAAAATATTTGTTTGTTCGGTTGGTTGGTTGATTCACAATTCAATTACAACCACAAATACAGGACACACTGAGAAATTTCAGGCATCTCATGTGTTTGTTGTTGGTTATTTTTTAGTTGATTGTTTGTTGTTTGTTGTCAAATTTGGTTCATTTTTATTCATTAACAATGATGAGGATCATATGAGGATCATCAAGTATCCCGAAAAATAAAATAAAATTATGGAATAAAAAAAAAGATTATTTCCATTTTGAAATTTGTTTTCTTTGCATCACTTTCATTATAACAACAATCAACCGAATAACCGAAGTAAATTTATTCCGGAATTTTTTTTTGTTGTTGAAAATTTCACAACTTTACACACATCAAGCACAAGCAAACACACGCATAAGATCAGTCTATATTTAGGTTTTTCTCTCTCTCTCTTGATTCGGGCTTTCGGTCAATTCACATAATGCTTTAATTTGATTGACAGCAGCCGAAAAATTGCTTGCTTGTTTTCTTTGTTATTTGATTCCGTCATTTTGTCGTTGTTGTTCGCGTTAATCCGTTTGTTTCCGCTTTTCCAATGAATAAATATCAAATTTGGCAATTCTTTTTGATGAATTCCAATGAACTGATGACATTTTTTGTTTTTGGTTGGCTACCATAATTACATTGCCATTGAATCAACTGTTCTGTCAATTACGTTGAACAAAAGAAAAAAAAATTGATTCATTTTTTTCTTGTGAAACAGAAAACAAAAACAAAAATTAAATTAAATTAAATTAAATTCAACAAAATGAAATTCATCATATGTCAAACAATCAAGCAAACAAGCGAAAACGATTTTGTTGTCCCAACAAATCAATTTTTTGACTTTTATCGATCCAAAAAATTTTTTTTTTCCGGGAGGGTGTTTCAGATTTTCAAAAAAAATTTAATTCTACGTCTCTTTCCCCCCTTGGTTCAACTAATGATGATCATTATTATTGATTATCATGTTTGTTTTTTTCAGGGAAAAAAAAATTGTCATCACTTTTTTCGACTTTCGAAAAACGAATATTCCATGGAAAATGTATTTTTTTTTTTTTTTTGGAAGGGGGGAAGATCAATTTTTTTTCAAAAAAAATTTTTTCACTTTTAAAAACTTTTTTTTTTTT